GGGCAAAAATGTCCAAAAAGTGGGTTTTTGGCGCCATAGCGCCACCTATGGTCCGATTTGGCTGATCTTTGGCCAGAACGTAGTGTACCGGGGTACTACCATCTGGCCAAGTTTCAGCTCTCTCGGCCTTACGGTTTGGTCTGGGCAATAGTGACTTCGGCAGAATAATAATAATAATAATAATAATAAAAATCTTAACAAAAACAATAGGGTTTCAGCGCTTCGCGCTTGACCCCCTAAATATAGCTGCAAGCAGCAATTAACGGGGGTCAAGCAGTTTAGCAGGGTAAGGTCATATAGCAGTCAGGAAGCCTGTAAGTAGTTTATTCGCCAATGAAATATACGATTAGAGTGTTAGAGTTTATAGATTGAGCTAACAAATGTTTGATTAAACACTCCAGAGAAGCAACTTCGATTTTTACATATTGACAAATTTTTAATGAACATTTCGAGTGACCGCTTTTATGTCAAAGTGACCAGTATAAGCAGCCCTATGATATAATGTGTAGATCGAGTCATGGCACCTTAGACAAAGACACGACATGTCAAATTTTAAGTTAATCAGATAAATGGTTACTCAGATACAGTGATTTTACAATGTATAGCCCCATCATTGGCCATTGTCTACGAGTTTTATGCTATGACCTTAGACTGACCTCTTGCATATGTGTAACAAGTTTGGTGATGATATTTTAGTTCATTCATGAGTTATGGCTATTTTAGCTCTTCTTAATAAAAATGACAAAAGAGCAGTGAATAAGCTATTAGTGATCTCCTACTGCCATCTAGTGGCCACAGTGTAATTTATTTATGTGATTACAGCCATTTAGGTGTGCATAAACATATCCCTTCTATAATTGAGCATGTTCTAACTATATAAAATTAAAATTTTGTATTTTATTAAAACAATTAAAAATCTACAGAGTAAAAAGTGTGACAAGCTTTGACTAAATTTGATCTTAAATGAATTAACTGTGTTCATGCCATGTCAGTTTGGGATTCAGAATGCATTACATTACATTCTTTGCTATAGAGCAGTAAAATAAACAATAAGTGGTCTGTTACTGCCATCTAGAAGCCACAGTTGATATTTTCTTTACACATGTTTTAAAACAATGTGTTTAATTATAGAACCAGTTTTACCTATTAGAATTATTATGAAGAGGTTAACTGGGAGCAAATTAGATGTTTAATGCATAACAGTGTTTACATCAGGTCAAAATATGATTCAGAATGATCCTAAATGCGATTTCCCTGACTTTAAACTCAAAAAATGTAAAAAAAAAAAAAAACAAAGGTATGCAAATGTTTTGAACAATAAATAAGTGGTCTTGTTGTGACATCTAGTGGTTAGAAATGGTAGGTGACAGTTAAAAGTCTGTGTTATAGTGGCTAAAATGATAGAATATTGAAAATGTGTTTTTGAGACCTTTAAACATCCAAGATGGACAAAAAAAAAATTACTTATAAATCATTTCAGTGATAAGTGTGTAAATGAAGCACATTTACTTCATTTTTAAGCCATTTTAGCATGTTTTTAGAACCATTTTCACTATTATAGCGCCACCTATTGCCCAATCTCCACAAAATTTTGCATGTTTATTCGCATTGATATGCCACATGTGCTCATCAATTTCTGTGATGCTTTCAGTTTTCCTTATTGGTTTACAGGCATGTAGGTTCGTGTAGACACGCCCCTTTTGTTAATGAGCCTGTTACAGCTATCTAAAATGGAAAGTTCAACTTTTTTTTTGATAATTATTGATCTACTCAGTCCAGAGGTTCATACAACACTGGTTTCATTGCGATTGAGTGAAAAACCAGGGACTAGTTTGCAAAAGTAGGTTTTGTTTATATTGATGGTTTTTTTAATGAACAGTTTGAGTAACAGCAGTGGTTTTAGTCTCAAACTGTTCAGTATGAGCAGACCTATCATATGATATGTAGATTGAGTGTTTTTTGTGAAAAAGTGTGTAAATGAAGCACATTTACTTTATTTTTAAGCGATTTAGCAATATTTAAAGACTATTTTTGCTATTATAGCGCCACCTATGGTTTGATCTTTACAAAATTTTGCAAGTTCCATCTCGTTGATATGCCACATGTGCTCACCAATTTCTGTGGTGTTTTGAGTTTTCCTTATTGGTTTACAGGCATGTAGGTTCGTGTGGACACGCCCCTTTTGTAAATTAGCCTGTTACAGCTAGCCAAAGTGAAAAGTTCAACATTTTTTTGATAATTATTGATCTACACAGTCCAGAAATTCCAACAACACTGGTTTCGTCGCGATTGAACTAAAAACCAGGGACTAGTTCGCAAAAGTAGGTTTTTCCTATATTGATGAATATTTAACGAACGGTGTAAGTGACAGCAGTGGTTTGAGTGTCAAACTGTTCGGTATGAGCAGGCCTATCATATGATTTGTATTTTGTGTGGTTGCGCAAAAGGTTGTGTGATACACAACCAATTACACACTAAAAATACGTAAAATCGCCCCCTAGTGGCCGATTTCTTTCAAAATTCTTACAGACCTCTAGGACCGTGAGTCAAACATGCCCAGTGAGTTTCGTTCCGATCACTCATCGTTAACATAGTTTAATGGCTGCTCAATTTTAAATGGCCAATGGCGGCCATGTTTTTTGAGATATGCCAATGTCCTTATAGTATGTTATGACAACTTGGTCAAAGACACTGCATGCCAAATTTCAAGCTGATTGGACTAGTGGCTGTAAGGTTAGAGTCATTTTTATGTTTTTTTAGCTTTATAGCGCCACCATGTGGCCAAAGTCTGCGGGTTTTGCAGTGTCACCTCAAATTGAACTTATGCATGTGTGTACCAAGTTTGGTGATGATATCTCATTTCGTTCAAAAGTTATAGCTCCAATTAGCATTTAGCTTCAATTAGCATCGAACATTGTTGTGCACTGTTTCGCGTGAGAATAAAAATGTCAACTTTTTTTTGATAATTATTGATATTCAGTGTCCAGAGAACATTTGAGAGCTGGTTTGGTTTAGATTGAGCGTAAAACCTAGGACTAGTTCGCAAAAGTAGGTTTCGGACAAATGGCGATGTAGCGGGAAAACGGTGCGTCGTAGAGCAAAAAGTTCAGCTGTGCACTTTTGTTGAGGCTAACCCAAGGATTGGAAAAATGTAAAGTTTTTGAGTCTACGACAAACGGTGAACGTATAGCGGGCAAAAATGTCCAAAAAGTGGGTTTTTGGCGCCATAGCGCCACCTATGGTCCGATTTGGCTGATCTTTTGTGAGAATGTAGTGTACCGGGGTACTACGATCTGGCCAAGTTTCAGCTCTCTCGGCCTTACGGTTTGGTCTGGGCAATAGTGACTTCGGCAGAATAATAATAATAATAATAATAATAATAATAATAAATATAGCTGCAAGCAGCAATTAACGGGGGTCAAGCAGTTTAGCAGGGTAAGGTCATATAGCAGTTAGGACGCCTGTAAGTAGTTTATTCGACAACGAAATATCTGATTAGAGTGTTAGAGTTTATAGATTGAGCTAACAAATGTTTGATTAAACACTCCAGAAAAGCAATTTCAGTTTTTACATATTGGCAAATTTTTTATGAACATTTCGAGTGACCGCTTTTATGTCAAAGTGACCAGTAAAAGCAGCCCTATGATATAATGTGTAGATCAAGTCATGGCACCTTAGACAAAGACACGACATGTCAAATTTCTAGGTAATCAGATAAATGGTTACTCGGATACAGTGATTTTACAATGTATAGCGCCACCATGTGGTCAATGTCTACGGGTTTTATGCTCTGACCTCTGATTAACCTCTTGCATGTCTGTGACAAGTTTGGTGAAGATATTTCTATCCATTCATGAGTTATGGCAATTTTAGCTCTTCTTAATAAAATTGACAAAACTATAACATAACTATATAAAATGAAGATTTTGTGTTTTATTTAAAGAATTAAAAATCTACAGAGTAAAAAGTGTGACAAGCTTCAACTAAATTTGATCTGAAATGCATTAACCATGTTTATGATATGTCAGTTTGGGATTCAGAATGCATTCTTTGCTACAGAGCAGTAAAATAAACTATGAGTGGTCTGTTACTGCCGTGTAGTGGCCACAGTTGTGATTTTGCAATTGGAACACGCGGAAGAAACCCACATCAAGACGGGGAGAACATTCAAACTCCACACAGAAATGCCAACTGACCCAGCCGAGGCTCGAACCAGTGACCTTCTTGCTGTGAGGTGACAGTGGTACCCACTGCATCATGCCGCCTAAAGGTAAATCATTTTTATAAAATGTATTATAAGATTAGTGTGATTATAAAAAAGTGTCAGATATGCAAAAGTCTGCATACTTTTATGTTTGCAAAGATTCATTTAGTATAGCTTTAATGTGTGATTAAACTCTCATTGAAACCTATGAATGTAAAACATCATCACTGAATTTTTAATGTAAATATTAATTTTAAATGAAATGTTAAGCACAGTAACACTTTATGACACTATAAGTGTTGTCGGTGTGAATTACAAAGGTGCTTGATTTAAAACAAATGGTGCTTTAAAAACTTCAAGTACTTAAATCAGTTGTCCATGAAAGTGTAGGAACTCATTTTGTGTAATATTGCTACTTAATTTGGATTGAAGCATATAAACATACAACAAGTATATATTTTCTCATTTTATTTACTTAATTTTATTTTTTGAGTCATTGCTATTGGTCATGCTTAATTTTTATTTGTTTTGTTTTTTATACTTCAAGGTAAAAAAAATTTATTTATATTTTTTGTAAAAACAGTTTCTGAATAAAGTTGTAATGTTATGATTTTCATACTGTTGGTCAAACAGTATAATTTCAGACAGACTCAGTCTTCACAGTTTTCAATATAAGGGAGATAATAATTGATAGCATAATAAAATTGTTTAATAAACATTATAATTAAACACAATGTTTAATATTTATAGGTACGCTTGTAAAATGTAATATGCAATCTTTATTTACTTTTTAAACCTAAATGTTATGTTGGTAAAAAATATTGAGTGTTTGAATTTGGTTGTGTATGTTCTGTAGATTATAATTTACATTGCAAAACATAAAACTCCAAATCTCTTTTAGGTAAATTAGTTATTGACTACTGTAATTTAAAAATTCTAGGTTTAACAGACATACATTTTGTCATTTAAATTGCAAAGTCCATTTTATATATTTTGGCAAAGGTGCATTTAGTAGTTTTCAGTAACGCGTGATTAAACTCCCATACACTAGAGGGCGCGCATTGTAACACAACGAGATCGTACTTCCTTTTTATCCTCCCCTGTTCCACCTGCTGAAGCGTAAGCATGCGTTTTTTTGTCTCTCTCTGTAATCTATGCAATATCTGTTTTAATTTTAGTCATCCATGATAGTTTTTGGTTGGTATAAGTCTTTTTTAATCTGTTTGTATGTTTTTCGGGTGTATTTTGTGATTAAACGTATTTAGGCACGCCTTTATTTTAGTAACAGTGAAATTTAGCTGATCTGCATTAGCCTACAAGATAATGATTTTAAAATAATCTAAAGAAAAGTGGTGTTGATCTTGTTATTTTTAACACTGTTAGTCTTCAATGTATTTAGTTTTATCTAAGCCAAAGCATGTCAGATTGGCAGGTCATTGAGTAATCTGAAAACAGTGCAATGGTCACCAGAGAGTCAATGTTCTCTTTCTCTGTCTAGATGGGCTTAACGTTTACACTCGTCAAGCGCCAAATGCAAGTAAAAAATAAACGCTGACTATTGTCGGTATTTTAAAAATGTCAATTTCCCCTAAACGCCATTAAACACGTGTTTTAACAGTGCTAATTTGACACTGTGTTCACGTGCTAAACACAAATGACCGATCCGCTGATGAATCGCTACTTTAAAAGGCTCCTTGTATATGTGTTCACACTGTGAACAGCAGTGAGTTCGGTGATATAATGACGTTCACGGCCAATCAATCAGTCATTTCTGTTGAGCAGGTGAACACAATGGTAAATCAGCGCTGTTTGAGAATGAGCTCAAGCGTGCTGAAAGCGGGGGATGGATGTTTTTAAAAATTCGGCAATAAATTCCATTATTGTGACAACGCTAGGCTGAATTTAGTTGACTTTCACTGTGTTTTGCACTGCCAAATACACAATTATGAGATTAAATCTTCATCCTGGAGTTTATTATCATAATCACTGATTTAGTGTTGTCTAAAATGAAAGTTAAACCCTTTGAGATAGATTTTCTTTATAATCCCTATTGACAGCAGCATAAAACCATTGCTTTAAACATTAAAATATTGTAATCTCAATTCAAACCTGCATAACATGAACAATAATTGATGATAATGATTTGCATATGTTTATTAGGTATAAACACTGCATTCAAATGTGTTTTATTGAGAGGGATTCAGTTTTTACACTTTCTTCTTTACGAACTGTTATATAAAACTGAAGAACTGAGAGAACAGTTTATAGTTTAGATATAAACACTTGTTTATGGTAAAACTGACATTACAGCTTAATGGAACTAACTGACTAACATTGTGTAACCCACAGGTGGCAACAAACAACTATCCAAATTATGTCACTGCATGGGTTTTCAGAAATGATCCACCTATAATGAAACCTGAAGTTTTATGTGTGAATTGGTGAATCATTAATTGAAGATAAATATATGTTGTACTAGATGTTATACTTGTATATTTAGCATTATCAGCAACAGTAGCAAAGCCATTTAAAATCGAATATTTTCCTTTTTTCAGCTGTGTTTTTCTTGTTTTATTTAAAAAAAAATGACAGACAATAGTTTTTGCAGTAATATTTTTGTATAAATGAAAAAACAAATGACACTTGTCTCCTCCCTTTTTTGCTGATCCAAAAAAAGGCCTGACTCTTCACCCCCTTTTATAAACAGTATTTTTGCTCCATGTAATATTTATCATTAATAGTTTCTTTTTTGTCTGTTTTTTGTTTTTCAGAACGTTGTGAAAGCTGATTTGTGGAGGTAAGGTTCTGCTTATTATTTTTATGATTACGTAGCAAATAGTTTCTATAAATATTTTATGCAGTCATTATTGTTTAACAGTGTTGTTAGTAGACAGTAGGGTTGTGCAGCTAGACGATAGTATCGTGTATCAACGATAGGCGAAAATATTGCAGAGTGCTGAAAACTATGATGATTTTAAAGACGATATTTAGCTCGTTTTGCACTAATGTAGACCTATTACATGTTTTAATTGGATTATTGAACAAAATGAATAGTATTACTAATTTTAATCATCATCAGTAATAATAAATTAACTACAAATAATATGATATTCAACTGTTTACATCAACATCACCTGACCGACACTTTTGGACAAAATTGAATTACTTCGATTGCTCTCTTGCGCGCTCTCTCTCTCTCTCAAAACAAAACAAGTTATTTTTATCTTTTATATCCGTTATTAATAGCCTATTTAAGTTTTAAGGGGGCTTATAGACTATTTTTTCATTGCATGCATTGACTGCTCCTTCAAATAGTACACGAAATATACCTGTCTTATTTGTGTTTAATTCGATAGAATGATAAACACGGACATGCGCATTTTTCAGAAAATAACCCATATTTTTAATTTTCAAACATATGTTAGGTCTTTATTTATTTTTTAAGCCTAAAATATATTTTATTTATTTATTTAAATTTGTCTATATGCAATTAAAAACAATCTGTATGTAACCATTCGTTTTGGCATTAAATTATTATTGAACAGATTATTAATAACTTATCAAAAAACATTTTACTGAGCTCAGTAAAAAGTTTTAGGTCAAATAGTCTGTTTAATATTATAGCAATAGGCTAATGTCGACTCACCGCAGCCATGTCTAAAATGAAACTCTTATCAGAGAACAATAAACCCATGTCAGGCGCAACATTGTGTTAGATCTTAGCTAATACAAATGTGACACTGTGGATGATTACTTTTGTGATTGATTAGACCTGAAGCTGCGCCGCGGTCAACTGAGCAAAACATGGAAAACTTCACAGCATAGAAACAGTCATGTGCGGGCGGCGACTCCTCCATCCTTCTGTCTGAAAGGACCTTAATACATCCTTGTTTCTTCCTTGCATAGATAAATGTCATTTTATTTGCTTTCATCCATGTATATTATATCCATTTTGCGGCAGTCCCGTGGGCCGAGGATAACGGCATGAACCCGAAGTTAACGTCAAATCCTGTCCCGCGCCACAGACTCCGCATCTGTTGCATCGAGTCTTGTTTGATATAATTTCTGTCTCAAAGCCCATTTAAGCTGTAAAAGCACAGTGATTTGCATTGGTTTGAATTATCCAAATTCAAACGTTATGCAAATGCAATAGGCTATTAAATAAGTTTAAAAATCAGCCAAAAGGTTAATAAATATGTTTAGATATGGATAAATATAGTAATATTTTAATATTATATTTATTATTATTATTTTATATATAACACTGCCGCGCCCCCATGCGATAGTATCCTGTATCGGCGATCTCACAGAGGGGCGATATGGCGATCTGAAAATTTTGTATGTCGCTCAGCACTAGTAGACAGACTAATTTTTGATTTTCAATAATGTACTGTAGATTATGTATATGATTTTGATTGAGACATTGGATAAAACAGGTTCACTCAATTGCGGTTAGGTTTAAAAATAAAAAAAGAATAAAATTTCATAATCTAAAACAAATGTATGGCACATATAGTCTTCTCTTTATCCTAAATAACACTTTAAAATTTATTTCCAATTAAATGTATTATTAATGAGGAACAAAACGCTTGTTTTATCAAAAGTAGGAATTACTGCGATCTCATTAAGGTATTGTTATTCTTCACTGACTTGTATGTTTTAGGATTTCAAAGGTGTGTCCCCTATTATGTCAACATTGTCAGACATTTATAAAAATGTATTAAATTAGCCAGTATTGAGTTGTTGTAACTCTAAAAAGTCCCCCTCAGCATATTCAAATTTTGCATAGTATCTCAAGAGGAAAACATTAGGATAAGTCCTGGTTTGTCGACATTAAATTAGTTAGCAATAGTTGATCTCTGCACAGCAGCATATTTACCTGTTTGGTTGGCATGTTGCATTTGATGTGAGCAGATAAGCAGAAACAGGCACACGTGTATGTCTATTTGCAATCAATTGGACAGGTGTACCTAATAAAGTGGCCGGTGAATGTATGTGTGGCTGCACACGTGTGAATGTTGTGACGGTAGGAATAAACCGCACAACAACTACATCAAATAACCATAGGAAAAGTTCTTGAAGCTATATGAAATTACTATTGTTTAGTTAACCTTTGTTGAATTTATTCTAAAATGTAAAAACAAAGGTTATTTATTGCTGTTTAAATAAAAAGTAAAAAAAAAAATTTTAGCATTTTTTTTTATTAATTTTTCACAGTTTAATAGGATAAAAAAACTCAAAGGTGTTAAACCCTTTGAGGGTAAGTTAATAGCAAGTACATTTTAGGGTGAAGTAAACTTTTAGGTGAAGTAAGTTTTAAATGTATGATGTTGACAATAAATATTGGCACTGTCAAAACAATGTTTAAAATAATTTAAAGTTGAGAGATTGTTATAAACTATAGCTCAGTACATGTAAAAAAAAATCTGTTTTTACTAAATGTTTTTGTACCCTGTTTTGTCTTATTTTACTACAGTTAAGATTATAGATCTATTATGTACTGTAAGATTTGTGTGCTGTAATATAATTTCTAATTTGTTTTTGTTTTTCATGTTGATGAAACAATGGAATAGATTTCAAGGTAAGTTGAAATAATTGCAAAATGTTCATCATAATTTTAGGAAATTGTTAAACTGCAAGTTGTGGTACTTGGTAATGTTTTAAATAAATATGATACTATCAGTTTTATTCAAATAAAAGTCTATTTACAGTAAATGTAAATATTTGCACCAGCTTGTAACTAATAACCAAAACTAAAATATTTTAACATTCAGCAGCAGTAATCCACAAAATATTACATTTTGTTTTGTTTAGTGTCATTGTTAATGATGTAGACCATGGCTATTCAATTAGTGGCCCACGGACTGAACTTGGCCCGCGAGGCAATAGGTTTCGCCCCTTTAAATAGTGTAAACAAGACATCAAAAATAAATTTTGTTCAGTCGAAAAATGGTTGCTATAGTTATGAAATGATGTGTATCTGTTTAATATAGCACGAGCTGCACAGAAAGTGAGTCACCTGACATTGAGTAGCGGGAGCAGCCGAAAACATTTAGATACTTAAGCTTCAAGGCAATGTGCGTGCACAAGCAAAGCAATGCGCTTGTGCCTTCCAGACTCCCCAAGTACAAAATATCTCGGGCCGTAGTGATAAGAGTTGTGCGTGGCATTCTGATGATAACAACAGTTTGAGTACTTGCCTAATATAAAGCTTAAATTTACATTAGACGTGATAACCGTGAAACCATGTTTTTTTTTTTTTTTTTTCAAACTATATAATCGTACAACCAAAATTGTTGCATACCTAATTGAAATACAACATTTGAGTGTTTGTAAAAAAAAAAGCCAGTTGTGTAATGCACTGATATTATATGGTTTCAAAATGCAATATATTAACATTTTAATGTAGAAAAATACAATGGGTGTCCTATGCCGTGTTCAGACTGTATGATTTTTCAAAGTAGTGGTGTCATGGATGTTTTCACACTGCATGACTATCTGGGCTTGCGTTTTGTCACTGCTGTTTTTACACTGTAGCATGGATCGGCGACAGGCTTACACACTGCATGAGTTTACAATAGAAAGAATTGCCGACAACTTTGTCCAAACTACAACTCACAACCAAACACACGTGAGAAGTGACATGGAAACAATGCCAAGTCACGTAATATGTTTCGTTATTAACTACATAATGATAAAGAGTACGGTAGAAATGTACATATTTGCTCACCTAGCTTTTAAAGGGAATTGGCAATTTCTCAGCTCAGATGACATGTCAAACACGGTTTTTCTGCTAAATTTCCACTAGCTTTTCCTCCATTTCTTGGGTCCAAATCAACTGAAAATGAGTGCTTTTAAATTCTCCCCTAAGCTCCCGCTGGCCTGCAAGTACCCATGCTAGTGGATGCTGCTCTCTCATTGGCTGTAGGTGATCGCAGTTGTTATTTTCAGTCAAAACTCTTTTCACACGCCATGATTTGAATCCCTGACAGCTCCAGACATTTAGCACGTCAAATATCTCACGGCTGTCGGTGACTCATCTGCAATTCTCTTAGATGGCGTCCTTGATAGTTCATACTGTGTGATTGTCACTCACATGAATGAGTACTAATTTGACTGTGATTTCAGCCATTTGTCGGCGATTTCTCAAAAGCTATCAGCGAGTCAAAATCAAGGCTAAAATCATGCAGTCTGAACTGTGCATTAAGGAGCAAAAATAAAGCATATGGGCTCTTGTATGCTGTGTGTTTTCACTCATATTTGAAGTCATATCTCTCCGGCCTTTTATTTGGGATGCTTTTTATGATCTGGCCCCCATGACAAACTAAATAAATTGCCCTGATATAGACTTAGGGCTGGCCGATAATTTGATGTAGATAATTGTCACAATAAATATTTTTTCGGTAATACGATAATGACAGTTTGATAATTGGTCAATAATATTTACGCACTATGCATAACGCATAGTTTATGCATAGTTAATTATTTGCAGCCTGCCTTTCCGAGTGCCGCATGCAGAATACAAGTTAACAGTCATATAGTGTCTGTTGCACTTGCAGTAAGAAAAAAAAAAAAAAGGTCACAGACATTGACAAGAAACGTCACTAGACTTCAGTAGTCTTGAGCTACTTAGTTTTTTTGCAATCCAACACAAAACAGCAACGTGCAGTGAAAACTGCAGACGACTTTTGTAATCAAAAGCAAAAAACACCACAGACCTGTTTCATCATTTAAAACAATGCCACCCTTATGAAGATGCAATGAAATTACAGACCCAAACAAGTGTTGGTAAACCAACTACCCAGCAGAGTCTCATGTCATCATTCTCAAAAGCCGTGCCTTACGAGAAAAAGTTTAGCAGCTCTAGTATTCAATATTTGGTATTTCACTATTTTAAGTAATTGTTTTTAGGTGGGTATTAATCAAATTGCACATTATCTAAAAAGTGTTTGAAATTTGGAATGTTTGCTACAGGTGCATACTGCATTTTTGAAGTTAATGTCTCATATGATATTAATTTAACATTTAAATTTGATCAATTGGGGGGGGATTATCATTTTTTTATTATATATACATTTATATATATATATATATATATATATATATATATATATATATCTTTGAAAATGTGTCTTTTTGAAACTAATTTCGTTTTGTATAATGTGTAACTTAATTTTGATGTATATTCTGTTGGTTGGTTATGTATAGCATAAACAAGAATTAATAACATCTGAGGTGAACACAAGCCCCGCTATATGCTTTAGCGCCAAAACAATCCATCAAACTATGTTCACGGTTTCGTTTCAATTCAGTAACGAAGCACGATTTGAGCAGCATGAGCTATACAGTCTTTGCAGGCTATTCGCAGCACTTATAGTATTGTTAGATTACCTCGGAAGATTAAACTCAATCTGAAGGATAATAACTCGGAGGCATGTGTCAACGGAGACGCTCCCCGCATATCTCGCCATGATGCGCGCTTTATAAAATGAGAGTCTCCTAGTCCCATATTCGTGCCAGTCTGTGAGATAAAATTTGTGAAAACATCCGCAGATATGAAGAAGATCTTTAACGGAGAAAATTCTGTGACCATTAACTCGCCTTTAACTTGTTCAAAACTTAATTTTTTCTGACGTTAAACAATAATATCCAATAACTTATGTCTTTAATTGTTGAAAACTTGAATAGTAAATGCTAAATTAAGATTATTCTTTTGCTTATTTTATTTATATTGTCAGACAGCAAAACATTTCACAAAATGTGTTAAATCAGCTGCACAAAGTTATTGGTATGCTGAAAATCCTATAAAATCGATAGATATAAAGATTTTACGTTTATCGTGATAAATATCTATATCGACTGGTATGAAAAAGATTATCGTAATTTTTTCTTTTTCCATATTGCTCAGCTCTATGTAGACTTCATCATAACTGACTTACTGGTGTTTCATGAAATAGTTAATTGTTTGTAGCAGTGGAGGCAAACATAGTTTCTTAAGGTTCAGAGCTCTGCATAGTTTTGTTTTAACCCTGTTTAATTGTTGAATCGAGCTTAGAAGTAATTTCCGCTGAGGTATGGGCTTTCAGAAAGAGAGTTTAGCAGCTCTAGTATTCAATATTTGGTAGAAAATACATTTAAAATAAAAATTAATAAATAAATAAAAATGATATAGAAAATTATCTTTGTGATTTCAAGTGCACTTCAAGAAACAGTAAGTGATATAGTTTACATTTTTAAAACATTTTGCAGTATGGGGTATATAATGTGCTGCAATTACCACAGCTGTTGTGCACACAACATATATACAGTGTACATGCATACATTTTTTATTTAACTATTTGTTGACATCCTGTTATATTTGCTGTGTTAGTAGATTACTAAAGTCAACATTAGATGCACATGTCTGTTTGTGCTTGCGAATGTTGTAAGTTGTAATGTTGTAATGTTGTTTGAAAAAACCAAATACCTATAACCAAATAAATTCCTGCTTCGGTCTTAACTTTTTCCTATTTATACAGAAACCCACTTTGATCGAGCAGGTAGAAGCAGCATGTACCTTTTAGCAAAGTAAAAATCAATGATCTGATAATTTAATCTGAAACTCACACACATTTTGGACTGAGTACTTATTATGCACATTGATAAAAGGGTAAAATTTGACCGGCATAAATGTAGAAGGAGACAGAAATAAAATGACATGTAACTTCACGGTATTAACAGTTAATGTGAAATTACAACATAAGTTTGTGCTGTTTTTAAAAAAAATTATTTTCATCGGGATGACCTGATGGTTTGCCCCTTCCATGTTTATCATTGTGCACAAGAAGAAGCAATAACTGCTTTATTCCTGATGTCATTCAGGGATGTTATTTTAGACCTATCTAGGCTATTGTGTATTTAACATAATATCATGTAGTCCTATAATGTGCATTTGAGGAAGCTGCTGATTATGAAATCACTTTGAATGCGTGTGTGGCTGTGCACTTTTTCTGCTTTCACAATTGCCTATCACGACCATGTGTGCTGTATGTACATTATAAATAAAGCCAGGACACACATTTGTTATCCTCTGCAATTCATCTGTTCTTATGTTACTTATTTAGTGCTACAGCCAGGCACCCCAAGTTTCATACCTAAAGTTTACATATTACAAATTTACAACTATACATTTTATAATTTATTACAACTATTACAAACGGGGACTACGCTTAAGGGATAGTACTATTGATTAACTTTTTAGCAATGTATGATATATTTTCTGGGTGAAATGTTGAAGATTATTAGGCTACTCAATTCAACTGCACTTTATATTTTAAGGCCTTTAATTAACTTAATTTGAACTGTTTTACTCGATTGTTGAGTTGTAGTTTATTTATCGCATGGAATAAAGAGTCTACTAAATTACAGGAAAGTGTATATTCTGTGGACACAGAGCACTAAACCAAGTTAGTGGCGACATCTAGTGGCAGTGGAAGGTGGTTACTCCCTACTTTAAAGTACTTCTGTACAAACCTATTAAATATTACCTAAATTACTATTAAACTGCTAAACACTAAATCTGATGAAACAAAACATTTAACTTAAATTGTCTTATTACTATCTATTATATCTATTATTATCTCTCTCTTTCCATATATATATATATATATATATATATATATATATATATATACATACATATATATACATACATACATACATACACATATCTCATCTTCGTTTTTTGTCATAAGCTGATCACATGCTTGTTATATGCAATTGTCTGCATTACGATTTGTTAGTATGCGATTAATTTTTGCCATTCTCTGTGCAGATGCCTCGTACGAAGGGCTCTCAGCGATCCAAGGCTGCCAAGAAGAGGATAGCAGACCGGCTGGCTGCTGATCCTGAAGAGGTCCTGCCACCTCTTAAAAAAATGGCAGAAATACCTGAACGTTGTGTGTATCACAACGGCAAAAAAAACTCTGACAAAAGAAATGACAAAGGAAAAAATGACACAAGGAATGACACAAAGAATGACACAAAGAATGATGCAAAAATGCCTGAAAAATACGCTCAAAGTCTCTTTCACCTAAACTCTCCTCTAAACCCTCTACCTAAAGTCTACTCTGATCCCAAGCCTAATCCTAAGCTTGAACAACATACTGAGATAACTATGAATGCTGTTTCTGAATTATCCCCACAGACTTCCATCATCAGAGGCTCTTTCCATCAAGGAGATATCTACTTCGGCCAGAATATGGGAAAGCAATGTGGTGCAAATAGTTTAATTGCAATTGTGATGAGTAAGATGAAAAGTGTTTTGCAGTGGAGCTCGAGTGATCTGGATTCTGTTCTGCTGAATGGTGATGAGCTGTACAGCGCCATGAGAAATGCTGGAAAAATCAACGATCCTGGACGAGGCTATATACGTGTTGATGAGCTGCCTGACACTCACACAATGAATGATTGTACATTTTCAATAAAATATGATCAAACATTGTCTGGCCTTTTTGGTGTTGATGAATATGCAGAAGGTTTGCAAGGTTTTGCTATGTCTCTTGATGAAGCAGTGAATCAAGCTTTTCAGATGTGTGATGCATGTTTGGTAAATATTAATCTAAACATCTGTGCTGTTGTGAGACAACATTCTTGGTTTGCTGTAATAGATTCCCATTCACGCAGCTCTGATGGTACATGTGCAACAGAAGGTAAAAGCTTAGTGGCATTTTATCCCAACACGGAGTCTCTGCTCATCCATCTCAAAAAACTGGGTGAGTCACTGTATGCAAACAACAGTCCCTTTGAGGTAACTGGCGTCAAGGCAAGTATAATAGCTGATGGTGAACGTGTTGAAAATGTAAAGCTGTCCGTGTGTGATGCAGTCTTGGAAAACGAAACTGAAATGCAACCTGTTACAGTCTGTAGTAGCTGTGCAACGAACTTGACCACAGGTGAAAATCATCAATTGGGATTGCATTCTGCATGTCGAACAAATGAAGACGCAGGTGATGTTGAATTCATTTGTCAAACAGATGGTGTCTCCTTTCAGTTTAGTCCGTTAACCATGCAGCAAGAAAAACACATTTGCTTAAAGCTAAACTTGGTGCACAATGAAAAGGAACAATATCATTCAGATGAAATTGAAATGGCTGAGCCTTGTCAAACAAAAAGTATTGTGGGTGATGGAAATTGCTTTTTTAGGGCTTTAACGTATGCCATGACAGGAAATGAAGTTGAACACAGAAAATGCCGGCTAAGTGTTGTTAATTACATTTTGCAGAATGAGCAGAAGTATAATAAGTTTCTTAGACATGGACACAGTTCTGTACCAGAATATATTGCTAAATCCAAAATGAGATTTCTGGGAACATGGGCTACCGAACTTGAGATACAGGCTGCTTGTGACTTGATTGGTGCAGACATATTTACATACACTAGAGAGAAATGGCTAAAATTTTCATCTTCAGCGGTATTGTCAAATAGACGTGCTAATTTAAAGAATGGAATTTATTTAAAACATGTGAATAACTGTCATTATGAGGTCGTGATATGTGTGAAAACAAAAAATGGGACTTGTGCTGGTATTTGTGCATCATCACTTGAACGACCAACAAACAATGTAAGTTCAAAACCTTCTTCAGACCTTTGTAAGCTTCGTAAGCAGAAACTCCAATACAACAATGACATTGATTTGAAAGAAATGAAACGAAGAGATAGCAGTGTAAAATACAAAGAAAACGAAAAACATAGAGAGAAGGTTAAGGAATATAGTGTTACAAAATACAGAGAAAATAAAAGACATAAAGACAATGTCAAAGATTACAGTGTTGCAAAATACAGAGAAAATGAAGAACATAGAGAGAACGTCAAAGACTACAGTGTTACGAAATACAGAGAAAATGAAGAACATAAAGAATTTGTGCAGAAGTACAGCATTCAAAAATATAAGGTAAATGAAATTCACAAAAACATGGTAATAGATTACAACAAGCAGAAATATAAAAATGATATTAGTTTTGTTCAGAGTATTAAAATGAGAAATACTATAAGGCAACAGGAAGCAAAGAACAAAAGAAAAGAGATTGACTTTGTGATTGAACAGTTCAAAGAAAAAATATCTAGAGGTCCCGAATATGTTTGTTCCGTCTGTCATCGATGCTGCTTTAAAACACAGGTCAAACACTGCAATAAAAACAAATATTTTCAAAAATCAGAGCATGTTGGACATATTGCAGAACAATGTATAACACTAAATTATCTTCATAAATGTAACAAACACTGTAGCCAAAATTGTGAACATATTGACAGTACAGCTGCATATCTATGGATTTGTCACACATGTGATCGAAAAATATGCGAAGGTAAAATTCCTGCTGAAAGTGTCTCAAATAATCTTGGTTTAGACCCTATTCCTGTCGAATTAAGCTGTTTAAACTCTCTTGAGCAACATTTAATAGCAAAGCATATTCCATTCATGAAAATGCTGGCTTTACCTCGAGGAGGACAGAATGGAGTTCATGGACCTGTGACTTGCGTGCCATCTAATGTAACAGAAACAGTAGATGTTTTACCAAGATCAGAAAATAATGATTATATGGTACAAGTAAAGCTTAAGAGGAAACTGACATATAAAGGGCATTATGAATATAAATTTGTGCATACTGAGAGGATAAAAACGGCAATTTTGTATTTAAACAAAACAAACAAGTGGTATACAGACGTGAAATTTAACAATAGTTGGATTAATACTTTGAGTAAAGTTGAGGAAGAACAGATCAATGATAAAAGTGATAAAATGGAGTTTGATTTAGACGCATGTCAGGATATGTGTGTTGATGAACAGCACAATACTGAAAATGAGGATGAAGAGATGACTGATGATACCCTTCATGACCGACAACAGCATGGTTTGTTTATGGATACATGTTTACAACCAGTGGACATTGCACAAGAGATGTTAGATCAACATTTTGATGACATTATGTCACTTGCTCCAGCAGAAGGCAACAATCCAGTAAGAGTTTTAATGGATGAAACTAATGAAGCTAAATGTTTTCCGGTTCTCTTCCCAAAAGGAATAGGAACTTTTCATGACATACGACCTGAAAAATTAACACTGTCCAGGTACTTAAACAACAGAATCTTAAATGCAGATAGACGTTTTGCCCAAAACATGGATTATATATTTTATGGCCAATATTTGTCTGAGCTTAATCAAGTTGTCTCAAATGTTTCTATTGCTTTGAGGAAGGGTCATGATACAAATAATACAAAAATTACTCCAGAAACACTGACAAACAAAGACTCACTTCAAAAGATTTTACATGCTGATCAGGGTTATAAATTCTTAAAGCCAATAAGAGGGAGTCCTGTTTTTTGGCAATCTGTGCAAAAAGATTTGTTTGCAATGGTTCGGCAGCTTGGGATACCAACATGGTTTTGTTCATTTTCATCAGCTGACCTGCGATGGCCAGAGCTAATGCAAACTATTGTAAAACAAGAGGGCTGTCAAACTCCCGTTGATGAACTGGACTGGTCAGATAGATGTGGAATGCTTCAGCGAAATCCAGTAACTGCTGCCAGAATGTTTGATCACAGGTTTCATTGCTTTCTGAAAGATGTCATTATGTCACCAGCTGAACCAATTGGAAAAATAATAGATTATTTCTATCGAATAGAATTCCAACAGCGAGGATCACCACATACACATTGTTTGTTTTGGGTTGAAAATGCACCTCAAGTGGACCGAGATGCTGATAATGAAGTAGTAGCTTTTGTTGACCGCTATGTAACCTGTGAAATGCCAAGTGAAAATGAAAATGAAATGTATGAGACTGTGAGAAGTGTCCAACAACACAGCAAAAGACATTCAAAAACATGCAGAAAGAAAGGCACTACATGTAGATTTAACTTTCCACGACCACCCAGCGGAAATACATTCATCGCAAGAAACAGCCAGGCTGAAAATGACAGAAAAGAAACTAAAGGAAAAAAATCAAATAGCTTTAATGAAATATCAAAAGACCAGGCTAAAGCTGTTATGGAAAAAGTAAAAGAATGTTTGTTGAACAACGACACTCTGTATGAATCAACTGATGCTTTCTTTACATCTATTGGTATAAATCAAGAGATTTTTGAAGCTGCTTATAATAAAATGACAAAGAAAACAACTGTTGTTTTGAAGAGGAAGCCTGCTGATGTATGGGTGAATCAATATAATCCAGATCTTTTACGGTGTTGGAATGCAAACATGGATATACAGTTTGTTGTGGATGCTTACTCGTGTATAGTATATATAATTTCATATATTTCTAAAGCAGAGAGAGAAATGGGATTATTGTTGGCAAATGCTCAAAAAGAAGCACACAAGCAAGGAAATATGGATGCTAAACAGGCTTTAAGAAAACTTGGAAGTGTGTTTTTACATAATCGAGAAGTTTCAGCCCAAGAGAGTGTTTATCGTTTGACTAACATGAAACTTAAACAAGGATCAAGGAAAGTGGTTTTTATTCCGACTGGTAGTAACACAATAAAAATGAGTCTACCATTAAACAATATCCATAAAAAAGCTCAATGTGGAGAAAGTGATGACATATGGATGACAAGCATTACAGAGAGATACAGAGCTCGTCCAAAAACAGAAGAGTTTTCAGAAATGTGTTTAGCAACATTTGCTTCAGAATACAGAGTTTTGTCTAAATATGAAAAATGTTTAGAAAGAATAAAACTGGAAAATGACATGGGGTTTGTGAGAAAAAGAACTCGCACAGATTTTGCGGTCGTACGATATGCTCGATTCTCACCTACTAAAAATCCAGAAAATTATTATCAAAGTATCTTAGAGTTATTTCTGCCTCATTTTTTCCAAAGTCAACTGAAACCAACAAATTTTACTTCCCATAAGGAATTTTATGACACTGGATTTGTTACAATACAAAAAGATCAGATTGAATCTGTGAAAATCCTAGTGGATACAAACATGTCAAAGTTTGAAAAAGAAGCAGAGACCATACAGAAAGCTGAAGATGATTTAGAACAATATGGACAATTGGAAGATGCTTGGGGTCAAATCTGTCCAGAAGCAGAACTTGAGCGTTTGGAATGTCTAGATAGTAAAAAACAACAGATCGAAATTGAGGAAGATGATGATGTCATACCTGACCTACTACCGAATGCTGGTGTTTTTGAAACAGAGCAAAATCCATCTGTCATAGCAAAAAAAGATGCAGTGGCTTTAATGCGTTCTTTGAATGAAAAACAATCACAAATCTTTTATAAAGTGAGGCAATGGTGTTTAGCAAAAGTTCAAGGTGAAAATCCAGATCCATTCCATGTGTTCATATCTGGTCCTGGAGGTGTTGGAAAGTCTATCCTAATTAAATCAATACACTATGAAACATCTCGCATCTTGTCAAAATTATCTGAAAACCCAGGTGAGACACATGTGTTATTAACAGCTCCGACTGGTGTTGCTGCTTACAATATTAATGCTGCAACCATACACAGCACTTTCTCCATTGGAACAACCGCTGCACTGCCTTATCAACCTCTTGGAGATGACAAAATCAATTCTTTAAGGGTCAAATTTGGAAAACTCCAAATATTAATAATTGATGAAATTTCAATGGTAGATCATAAACTTCTAGCTTATATTCATGGTAGATTGAGGCAAATCAAACAAACAGGAGATTTTAAATCATTCGGGGGTGTATCCATAATTGCATGTGGAGATATGTATCAGCTAGGCCCTGTGAAAGGAAAACCCCTTTACACTGAACCAATGAACTGTGTTAACCTGTGGGAAACAAACTTCAGTTTCACAGAACTTACAGAAATTATGCGCCAAAAAGATAAACAATTTGCAGAGTTATTAAGTCGTTTAAGAGTACGTAAAAAAGATGAACAAATGACTGAAGCAGACGTTACTATGCTTAAAAACTGTGAAACAGGAGATGGTGATGAATCTCCAGATATCCACATTTATGCAACTAACAGTGAAGTTGATATGCACAACATTACAATGTTACATAAAGTATGCTCTGACACAGTTATTGTCAATGCACAGGACTTTGAGAGAAATGCTAAAACTGGCCGCATGGAAAAAAAAGAAGGGTTTCATTTCAGAGTTCAAAATACTTCTTTAGAAAAATCACTTGAATTAGCTGTCGATGCTCGAATAATGTTACTGAAAAACATTAATGTTTCAGATGGTCTTGTAAATGGAGTTTTTGGCACAATTAAAGACTTCTGTTATAAAGATGAAAATGAATCATTTCCATCAAAAATATATATTGAATTTGATGATGAGCGAGTTGGTAAAGAAGCACGAAAGAAAAATCCATGTTTAAAACCTGGTCTGGAAACATGCACACCAATTGAACCTGAGGAAGAAAAGGTAACCAGCAGTGGTGGTGTCAGAAGACAGTTTCCTCTAAGATTAGCCTGGGCATGCACCGTTCACAAAGTACAAGGTCTAACATTAGACAAAGCAGTTGTTTCAATGAAAAAAATATTTGCTCCAGGACAAGCATATGTAGCATTAAGCCGAGTGACAAGTATTGATGGACTCATAATTGAAGATTTTAATGAGAAAGTTATTTTTGCTAAAGACAACATTGAGAAAGCTCTACAGATTATGCCTCCATTCATTTTTCCATGTAAAACAACAGAAAGTTTTAAATTTACTATAATGTTACACAATGTTGAAGGATTAATCCCACATATACTAGATATCCGACAAGATAACAGATATGTTGAAGCAGATATGATATGTGTAACAGAAACATGGCTAACATCAAATTATTCAGAGCATGCAGTCACTGTTGCTGGATACAATTTCTATTCCAAACCTCGAAGCACTGCATATGACACAAGTCAGGATTTTTTTGCTCAACTAAAAGAGGAAAATCGTGGTGGTGTTGGCATATATCACAGAGAGGACATAAAAGTTGCTGTAGTTGATTTACCGTGCATTAACATTGAATGTCTCATGTGCAATATACAACATTCAAACACAACTGTAGCAGTCGTTTACAGACCACCAAAATATACTTTACCATTGTTTACAGACAATTTTCTGAACTTGGTTAATCACATAAACAGCTTATCAGGTGGTAAAATAATTCTAGGAGACTTCAATGAGAACCTACTTGATAAATCCTTCATTCATAATGTCATGCAGGATTTTGGGTTCACACAAATAGTTAAAAGTGTAACAACTGAATATGGTACTTTAATTGACCATGTATATATTAAAGATGTTGAGTTACATAAAATTAAGACTGAGATTATGCCCACATATTTCAGCTGTCATGAATGTGTTGTGATAAAATGGTCGATGTAATCTGTCCATAAAATGGGGGGAGGGGGGTACAGAGGTGAATGCAAGAAGTGGACAGCCTCTGTGGGAATTAATGCTGCCTTCACATGCTACCAGATAAATTAAAATTAAAACCAAGATTATAACCATATAAGAAATGTGAAATTGATTAAAAAATAAATTTAGTCACAAGAATGAACATATTTCTGGTAGCATGTGAAGGCAGCATAAATGCATGGGGATTTTAGAAAATGCTGCCTTCACATGCTACCAGACAATATTGTAAATTCCAGCTTCCTAGCATAAAATGTCATATGCAAGGACAATACAATATTTGTTATACAAAAATACAGAAATGTGTTTTGTTTTCAAGCTAAATCTTTTAGACAAAGAAATCAACAATCTTTCATTATAAAGCAAACAATAGTAAACAATAGTAATTATAAAATACAAATAGAAATTAATAAAAAAAATAACTAAATCACACTTAAAATACTTCAGAACAAGAAGTATGAAATTTCTGGTAGCATGTGAAGGCAGCTTACACATTCATCTAGTTAAGTGCCCACCAGACACACTACAAGGCACTCTACACATCACATCTGCCACTGAACTGAACTATATATTTCCCAAACTGGTTACTGCCACCACCAGAGCCACAGCTGAAAGAACTGCAGCAGCCTGACCTGCCAATAACTTCTGATTCTGACCCTCATATGTTTCCTGACTCAAAACACCAAATTGACAGTGCCTCCAGAACCAGAGCTACCTGATCCACCAGGGATGTCTGACCTGCTTTGCCTCCTGACCCAGAGCCACCTCACCCACCAGAGTTGTCGGACCTGTCTTCGCCTTCCGACCCAGAGCCCACAGATCTGTTACAGCTCCACAATATAGAGCCTCGGCAGGTCCACGTTCCAAGGTCACCACCTGATCTACCAGGGTTGTCTAACCTGCCTGTGCCCCCTGACCCAAAGTCCCCTGATCTGCAACAGCTCCACAATCCAGAGCCTCGGCAGCTTCACGTTCCAAGGTCGCGACCTGATCCACCAGGGTTGTCTGACCTTCCGGTGCCTCATCAACAAAGGCCCCAAATGCTCTACAGCTCCACAATCCAGAGGCTCAACAGCTCCACGCTCCAAAGTCGCCACCGGATTCACCAGGGTTATCTGACCTGCCTGTGCCTCCTGACCCAGAGTCCAGAGATCTGCTACAGCTCAAGAATCCAGAGCCTTAGCAACTCCAAGCTCTAAGGTTGTCACCTGATCCACCAGGATTGTCTGACATGCCTGTGCCTCCTGACCCAGAGCCCCCAAATCTGCTTAAGCTCCACAATCCACAACCTTAGCAGCTCCATGCTGCACGGCCTCCGCAGCTCCATGCTCCAGGGCCTCCACAGCTCCACTCTCCAAACTCACCTGCACTGCACTCATCTGCCTCTGCTTCACGTCCCTCCTGAACTGTTCACAAAGCATCTGGAAGTCCCACCTTGTGGGGAGGATATTTCAAAGTCACGCAGCTGAGTGCCCACCAGACATGCTAGAGGGCACACATCACATCTGCCACTGGACTGAACTACAGATCCCATTAGGTACTGACAACAGTTTTAGATGTCCTCTTGATTTCACAATTACAGTTAAAGCTCGTCATGACTGATGCTTGGACTATGTATATATTTACACACACACACACACACACATCTATTATGGATTCTTGTTTCCAGATTGTATATTTCTAAACGTTTTCCTAGTCTTACATAACCATATTTTCACCCTTTGTTTGTCAGAAATATTTATTTTGCTGCCTACTTCATTCTTTACCTGTAAAACCAACTACTCTTTGGATTATCTGTATGATACCATCTGCACCAATTTTGCCTGCTTGACCAATTTTAAATAAACAGCATTTGGACCTGACACATTGTTACAGTCACATTGCTGTTCTTTTTCTCAATATTAGTTGATGTTAAGGCCAAATACCGTATGATTTTTCACTTTACTTTGAACCTTTTAATTGTAGTTATTAATTAATTTAGATTAGTTGATGTTTGTTTCAAATATGTATTTTTGTGGTGGGAGAAAACTTTGTTGTAAGTGATTCAAGAACTCATAAAAAGGTAAAGTAATTTCATTTTTTCGACATGTTTTATAATAATTACATTAATGGCATTATTATCAACGTAATATTTATATATAAGCTCTATAAATATTCACATACAATATTACTCAATTGTCAATTCATAATCATAATATAACAAAACTGGGAAAAAGAATGTTTGTATATTAATTAGTAAGCCTTGACAATTACATTTTAAACAAAACAACAGTGATTCAGTAAACAGTTAAATTACAATGTTCTTGATTGCTATTCCACTGACTCTAAACTGTTAACAAAGTTTTTTTGTTTTTTTTTAAACAAGGTCTATTAGTAACCAATAAGTTTTCTTTTGCTGCATTCTAGTGGTGGTAATGGTGATTTCCAGCAATGATTAATAATGAAAAAATGTTTTTATAAACTTATTATCAGTTGATAAATTTAAAATTTTGCAAATTTGTTTACACTCAAATCAAATGTCACATGTGCTTAAATATGTGTGTGACGTTGATATTTCTGTTACAATGTACTTCTTTTGTTGTTGTACTTTTGTTACAATGTCTTTCAGAAGAGCTTTCCAGATTGAATATATATACCTGCATGTCCAATTAAGTTAATTGGATAAAAGGTTACTCAGACACATTGATTTTTCAATGCATTGCTCCACAATGTGGTCAGTATCTAAAAGTATTATGCTATAACTCTAGATTGACCTCTTGCATATGTGCAACAAGTTTGGTGAAGATATTTCAATCCATTCATAAGTTATGGCTATTTTAGCTCTTACCAACAAAAATGACAAAAAAAAAAAAAAAAAAACTGTGAAATAAGCTGTTAGTGATCTCCTACTGCCATCTAGTGGCCACATTGTAATTTATTTATGTGATAGCATGTTCTAACTATATAAAATGAAAATTTAGTATTTTATTAAAATAATTAAAAATCTACAGAGTAAAAAGTGTGACAAGCTTTGACTAAATTTGATTTTAAATGCATTAACTCTGTTTATGCCATGTCAGTTTGGGATTTAGAATGCATTACATTACATTACAACACATTCTTTGCTATACAGCAGTAAAATAAACAATAAGTGGTCTGTTACTGCCATCTAGAGGCCAAAGTTGTGATTTTCTTTACATATGTTTTAAAACAAGGTGTTTAATTATAGAACCAGTTTTACCTATTATTAGATGTTTAATGCATAGCAGTGTTTAAATCAGGTCAAAATGTGATTCAGAATGATCCTAAATGCAATTTCCCTGACTTTAAACTCAAAAAATGTAAAACAACAAAGGTATGCAAATGTTATGAACAATAAATAAGTGGTCTTGTGCTGACATCTAGTGGTTCAATTTGGTAGGTGACCTTTAAAAGACTTATAGTGGCTAAAATGGTGGAATATTGAAAATATGTATTTTGAAACCTCTAAAACATTCAAAAAGGACAAAAATTTAACATGTAAATAATTTTAGTTATAAGCTTGTATCAAACTTTTAATAGTGTGTAAATGAAGCACATTTACTGCATTTTTAAGCCATTTTAGCATGTTTTTAGGACCATTTCTACTATTATAGCGCCACTTATTGCCCGATCTCCACAAAATTTTGCATGTTTATTCACATTGATATGCCACATGTGCTCATCAATTTCTGTGATGTTTTGGGTTTTCCTCATTGGTTTACAGGCATGTAGGTTCGTGTAGACACGCCCCTTTTGTAAATGAGCCTGTTACAGCTATCTAAAATGGAAAGTTCAACTTTTTTTTGATAATTATTGATCTGCTCAGTCCAGAGGTTCATACAACACTGGTTTCGTTGCGATTGAGTGAAAAACCAGGAACTAGTTTGCAAAAGTAGGTTTTGTACATATTGATAGTTTTTTAATGAACGGTGTGATTGACAGCAGTTGTTTTAGTGTCAAACTGTTCAAGATGAGCAGACCTATCATATGATATGTAGATTAAGTGTATTTGTGAAATAGTGTTTAAATGAAGCACATTTACTTTATTTTTAAGCCATTTGGCATGTTTTTAAGACTCTTTTTGCTATTATAGCGCCACCTATGGTTTGATCTTCACAAAATTTTGCATGTTTCTTCTCATTGATATGGCACATGTACTCACCAATTTCTGTGATGTTTTGGGCTTTCCTTATTGGTTTACAGGCATGTAGGTTCGTGTGGACACGCCCCTTTTGTAAACTAGCCTGTTTCAGCTAGCCAAAGTGAAAAGTTCAACTTTTTTTTGATAATTATTGATCTACACAGTCCAGAGATTCTAACAACACTGGTTTCGTTGCAATTGAGTGAAAAACCAGGGACTAGTTCGCAAAAGTAGGTTTTTCCTATATTGATGAATATTTAACGAACGGTGTAAGTGACAGCAGTGGTTTGAGTGTCAAACTGTTCGGTATGAGCAGGCCTATCATATGATATGTATTTTGTGTGGTTGCGCACAAGGTTGTGTGATACACAACCCATTACACCTTAAAAATGCGTAAAATCGCCCCCTAGTGGCCGATTTCTTTCAAAATTCTTACAGACCTCTAGGTCTATAAGTCGAACATACCCAGCGAGTTTCGTTCCGATCGCTGATCGTTAATCTTGTTAAATGGCTGCTAAATCTTTATTGGCCAATGGCGGCCATGTTTTTTGAGATGTGCCAATGTCCTTATAATATGTCATGGCAAACTGGTCAAAGACACTGCATGCCAAATTTCAAGCTGATCGGACTAACGGTTGTAAGGTTAGGGTCATTTTATGGTTTTTAAGCTTTATAGCGCCACCATGTGGCCAAAGTCTGCGGGTTTTGCAGTGTCACCTCAAATTGAGCTTATACATGTGTGTACCAAGTTTGGTGATGATATCTCATTTGGTTCAAAAGTTATAGCTCCAATTAGCATTTAGCTTCAATTAGCATCGAACATTGTTGTGTACTGTTTCGAGTGAGAATAAAAATGTCAACTTTTTTTTGATAATTATTGATATTCAGTGTCCAGAGAACATTTGAGAGGTGGTTTGGTTTAGATTGAGTGAAAAACCTAGGACTAGTTCGCAAAAGTAGGATTCGGACAAAACGCGATGTAGCGGGAAAACGGTGCATCGTAGAGCAAAAAGTGCAGCTGTGCACTTTTGTTAGGGCTAACTCAAGGATTGAAAAAATGTAAAGTTTTTGAGTCTACGACAAACGGTGAACGTATAGCGGCCAAAAATGTCCAAAATGTTGGTTTTTGGCGCTGTAGCGCCACCTATGGTCCGATTTGGCTGATCTTTGGTGAGAACGTAGTGTACCGGGGTACTACGATCTGGCCAAGTTTCAGCTCTCTCGGCCTTACGGTTTGGTCTGGGCAATAGTGACTTCGGCAGAATAATAATAATAATAAAAATCCTAACAAATACAATAGGGTTTCAGCGCTACGCGCTTGACCCCCTAATAAATATAGCTGCGAGCAGCAATTAACGGGGGTCAAGCAGTTTAGCAGGGTAAGGTCATATAGCAGTCAGGAAGCCTGTAAGTAGTTTATTCGCCAATGAAATATACGATTAGAGTGTTAGAGTTTATAGATTGAGCTAACAAATGTTTGATTAAACACTCCAGAAATGCAACTTCAGTTTTTACATATTGACAAATTTCTTAAGAACATTTCGAGTAAATGTCAAAGTGACCAGTATAAGCAGCCCTATGATATATTGTGTAGATCGAGTCATGGCACCTTAGACAAAGACACGACATGTCATATTTTAAGTTAATCAGATAAATGGTTACTCGGATACAGTGATTTTACAATGTATAGCGCCATCATGTGGCCATTGTCTACGAGTTTTGTGTTATGACCTTAGACTGACCTCTTGCATATGTGTAACAAGTTTGGTGAAGATATTTTAATTCCTTCATGAGTTATGGCTATTTTAGCTCTTCTTAATAAAAATGACAAAAGAGCAGTGAATAAGCTATTAGTGATCTGCTACTGCCACCTAGTGGCAACGGTGTAATTTATTTATGTGATTACAGCCATTTAGGTGTGCATAAACATATCCCTTCTATAATTGAGCATGTTCTAACTATATAAAATGAAAAATTTGTATTTTATTAAAATAATTAAAAATCTACAGAGTAAAAAGTGTGAAAAGCTTTAACTAAATTTGATCTTAAATGCATTAACTGTGTTCATGCCATGTCAGTTTGGGATTCAGAATGCATTACATAACATTACATTACATTCTTTGCTATAGAGCAGTAAAATAAACAATAAGTGGTCTGTTACTGTCATCTAGAAGCCACAGTTGTGATTTTCTTTACATATGTTTTAAAACAAGGTGTTTAATTATAGAACCAGTTTTACCTATTAGAATTATTATGAAGAGGTTAACTGGGACCAAATTAGATGTTTAATGCATAGCAGTGTTTATATCAGGTCAAATGTGATTCAGAATGATCCTAAATGCAATTTCCCTGACTTTAAAATAAAAAAAAATGTAAAACAACAAAGGTATGCAAATGTTATGAACAATAAATAAGTGGTCTTGTTGTGACATCTAGTGGTTAGAAATGGTAGGTGACAGTTAAAAGTCTGTGTTATAGTGGCTAAAAAGATAGAATACTGAAAATATGTGTTTTTTAGACATTTAAACGTCCAAGATGGGCAAAAAACAACAACTTGTAAATCATTTTAGTGTTAGGTGTGTAAATGAAGCACATTTACTGCATTTTTAAGCCATTTTATGATGTTTTTAGAACCATTTCTACTATTATAGCGCCACCTATTGCCCGATCACCACAAAATTTTGCATGTTTATACGCATTGATATGCCAAA